GTTTTAAAAGACAAAAAGCATCAGTGAGCCAGACAATAACGTCTCGTGAGTGAGACTCCAATAAGGCTAATAAAATTGTGGACATCACTGATCAGAACTGCTCCACTCTATCAAATTCTGAACGGTCCGCAGACTAAAACAAACGCCTAGATGCATCCTCTTTAAATATTAAACACCACTACGTTTCTTCCGTTTGCATTCTACTTTTTAACTATGAATAAATGTGACCTTGTAAAGAATATATCCCTTGTCTATGGTGAAGGACAGCCACCAGATCCCCCTCCAAATCTCAAAACGTTCACATTTCATTCTTTTAAAGAGATTTGTGTGTGCATAACAAACTGTTCTAACATTTTGCATATGACTGGTTGATCTAAACTGAACTGCCTGCAAATATGCACTGGCATTTCGGTAAACTAAGAGCTAGTTGGAAAAGTACTAGCATTTTTAGCGAGAAGTGACATTTCTCCAAAATGAAAACTTTCTTTGAGGACATCACCAGTTTTGACATTAGTACGTTTTCTCACATCTAGGACAAAACTCTGGTGAGACAGGAGGAGGAGAGCAGTTCTGAACCCAGAATAGCCAGGCAGTCTGTCTAGTCGTTCATCCAGGATGGGAGAAACATGGCAGTTCCGCATGAACTAGACTTTGAGTATTTCAGCTCTGGGCTATACGTTATTCTGGAAAGTATCAGTAACTGTAATTAAATACATGCTGCTCTATGCATCTGCACAGTGATGGACTAAAATAACGAATGTTTATATTACTTACAGTGGCTTTTCAGAACATCCTCATTTCTCTCTGTACTAACCTATAATTTAGGCTTTGTTGAGAAGGAAGTGACAGTTAACTTCCTGGTCTCCAAAACCCATTTCTACTTGATTTAAATCCTACTAACAATGGAAATAAAGGAAACCACAGCCACAGAGTCTACTTTTAGAGTGAGGCCACTAGTAGAAAGCAGGTGTGTGCAGAGCCAGCATACTGCTGTATTTAATTTACTGAGAAATTCATTGTTACCTTTAGCAACAGAAGCTGCAGAGGGACTAGGGACAACGGTACTGGCTGTTGTGACAGCTGTGACAGCTGAAACTTTGCTGGCAGAAAGCGACTGTATCACTAGGGAGGAACAGGGAAAAAAAAAAAGAGGACAACAAAGGGGAAAAAAAAAAAAAATCAAACTCCACACACTTTGACAAATAACCACGCTCAGAGGCAAACGCTGTGTTTGCAATATGAAGCTTAAGGACAAATTCGCTTGCTACCTTTTTCTTCTATCTGTAAACCTTGGACCAGGTATTCCAGCAGTGACTAAGAGCTACTCTGTGTCAAAGCAGATTTTCAAACACTACCTACTCTCCTTTTCTGCATTTTACCTTTGTTCATAGGCATGAGTATCGTTTGAACACCTCCAGAAGCTGTGTTTACACCGAGCTGTTTAAGCTGGCTGGGAACCGTCAGAACAGCCTGCTGCGGACTAGACTGATTTGAGTGGATTTTTAGCAACCCTGCAAGAAGAGGGGAAGACAAAACGTTGAACAGAACACGTTATTTTGTTTAAATAGTCTCTAGCTATATCTCTCCCTCTCTGCATGAAATCGGAGGGCATGTAAGCTGGCACTACCACCCTCTTAAGCCACAGCTCACAGTGAACTGTCAGACAAGTTTTTATTGACAAGGATGACTGCCAAAACACTGGGTTGAGTTATATGCTACAGGTTATATGCTATGTTCTGATATTTGTGAGGCAAGATTCATAATCAGCCTAAGATTACTTAGGTAGTCAATAAACCTGTTAAATGGTGAAGCTAAGCTCTCTTAGGCCACAGAGCTGGTCTCTAGCAAGCTATTAAAAGCCAATGGTTTTGCAAGTCTCTTTCCAGGGCAGTTCACCACACTTTGAGAAAGCACCTCATTTAAATGGTGCCTTGGGGGACGTCCCAAGCGATATGCAGATGTGTCAGGACAGCACAGCAAGGCACCCAAACAGCAAGGTGAGCAAGAAGGGACGTTTTCAACTACCCCATTAGCCTGACGGGTGGGAGACACTGTTTGTTGCAAAACAATGGGGAAAAACTGAGATTCTGTTTGAAAGTTGCCTTTAAAAATTCAAACCTCAAGAATTTTAACACAGTATTTTTTCTGACCCTGAAATAACCCGTTTTATAGCAATTGTTTCTTTTGGGATTCTTGAAGAAATAGCTTTTTAATGTTGAAGTCAGTGCCTCAGGATTACCGGAAAAAAAAAAAAAAAAAGGGAAAAGAAATTCTCACACCTAAACTGCAGTCTTAAGCTGAAGGCCATCTCGTATGGCCCATTTCCCACAAAAAACCTTGGTGCTTGGTTGGTAAGAAGGACAATACTCAATTCTATAATTGTGGCAGTTTTAATAGCCTCTGTTGTACACTACCAAGCTCTGGGAAACACAAACTCATGAAAAGAAGGAGTGGTTTAGAAGACTGTGTACATAGAAAGCCAGCAGAGTTGCCGTAAATGACACTGTCAGAAGGGCTCAGTGTCACTTACTTCCTTTCTCCTGTATGTGTAAGCCTTGTTTCCAGTTAGTAAGTGGCCGCTTCAAATGAACAGAACATGCCAGCAAGTAAATTAAAAATCCAAACAACGATTTCTATTTTTAACCAATGCTACTCAAACTAAGTCTGCTCTGTTTGCTCTCCATAATGCAAAAGATACTGGAAGACAATAAAACTAAGTAAGGAAAACACCCCTCTTACACAGGGATAGTCCATCTTTATTACCTCCTCTTTATTACCTTGAACTATTCCAGAGCCCATCTATCTTACTCTAGTTTGTAGATTATGACTTTATAGCATTCAATTCCCCCTAATCAACACTTCCCTCCTTTCCAAACCAAACAGAGTAGATGCACAGCTTCAGGGTCAAGCTCTCCTCATGCAACTTCTAACATCCTCGGCGTTTCACTTCTACAAACAGAATTAAGTCTGTGGTATCTCTGATATTTTGATACTTTCAGTGTTCGGTGATACGCTATGCTCTTGAAGGAGGAGGAAGCATCCTCTGATGAGAGCTTGGCCCGAAAGCTAAAAGTCTCTCTCAAATACCAGTGGGCAACTCACACTGTTATTTGTATCAGACACAGTAAACACATCGATGCGAAAGGATGCCAAATTATTTACCCATCTCTTGGCTATGCCAAATGTTATCCTAGTAAGGTGTTTTGGAAAGCGTGACCTCACTTTCACACATTCACAAATGCAAGTGACCCTAAATCCTTCCTTTCACAGTGCAAGACACCTAAAGAACCTACAGTCACGTTTAACTTTCTAATAGAAGGTCATGAAGAGAGTTCAATACCTGATACGGCAGCTTTTCCAGTCACAGGCGTTGGCGTAGTCATCAGAGAAGCAACACTTACAACAGTAGAAGTAGCAGTTTTACTCACTGCTGATGAAGTGGACTGGCCCTGGTTTATACAGATTTGGTGTTGCTGTCCAGAAGTCTTTGTTGTAGGACCTCCAGAAGATGATGAGCTCGCACTTGCATTATCTATTTGCTGCATAAAAGAGAGAGAGAGTAATATCAAAATCCTATTCACTCCATACATGATTTAACAATAAGCACAAAGAAGGAATATCTAGAAGTAATAAAACTGAACAAGTATCTTTTATTAAGAAGCAAGAATTTCTCAGACACATATCCAAAAGCCCATACACAATCATCGCACAGACACAACGATGGCCGTTTCAAGCAGAAATAAAAATGAAACTATGCACGCAGGAACTGCTACCACTACTGCTTTGATAGTATCAGGAGCCAGGTCCCTTAACTTCAGTAAGCAGGTAAGCCTCTAGATGAGAAATCTGGCCCAGTAACGTTTCACATTTCCCTGCTGCTCAGAACTCCAGAGGGATCAGTAGAGAAATGGAGCAAAGCTGTTAATGCAGGTGCCTCCACTGACTCAGACAACGGGTCGCATTTTGACGTTATGCAGGCCTCAACTCCAATATGTATTTCTGTTTTAGAATGATTTAAAGACTGATACTTGCACTCTTAGCACCCAGGTGTATTTTGCAGGTAAAGAAATTCAAAGTCAGTATTATTCTTTCTGCGATTATTTGCGCATTGTGCACTACCCTTCATTTTACAATAAACTGACAAAAACAAAGACCTTAATTGACTTCACAGAGCCTACAGCTCTTCTGTTCTTTAGCTGCAGAAACTCATTCTGAGGGGCTCGTGCTGAGAATATCATTTTGGCTAGATAGATGTGAGACATTTTCAAATCTGCTCATCAGAGCTGGAAAAGCTCTTCAATGTTCATCAACTCAGACATCAGGCAGATACTTGTGTCCTGGCTGCTCTACGTCCTAGGTAGGGCTAGGCAGGGACAATGAGATGGTAATAACTGTCATCAGGAAGCCAGACAGGGGAAAAGTTTAGGATAGCGACAGCGGATGGAAAATCTAAATCTCTACAGCCTCACCGGGAGTTGTAAAAACAGCGAGTAGCTTTTAATGCAAATTCCAGCATCTTCACCTATACCTGCAGTGTAGCACCAGGGTACAGCCCTCTTTGAGGGCAGCATGGCCTCACACGCAACTCGTTTAATCTCTGCCTCTCCACAGGCTAAAGCGACTAAAGCGGGAGGAATCCTCCTAGTGAACTACGCTCTTTCGTTTTTGGTGCCTCCTCCCTAGCCCACGAACTCCACAACATGGACAACCTGCGACAGTCAGATACACTGCTGCGTCCACTCACAAGAGACTTCACTCTGGGAACACAAATGCTTTATTTCCAAACTCATTCCATGGGAAACTACTCTTTCGAAGGCTGCGTTGTTACGATTCCCTTGGGGGTAAACAGAAGAGATATGCTTTGAACACAGTCAGATTCAAAGGACCACGAACCCTGTGCATTGTTGGCCTCTGATACTGGTTCAGGGCAGATCGAGCACTAAGCACTGTGAAGAGTCAGTGATCTCGGGTGAACAACCTTCAGTATAATTACTGCTGGCTTTCACTGGCCTACTAGATACAGATTTTCAGGTATTTTACATCTTTCTGCAACTTTCCATGTCAGCTAGACAGATTTGGTGTTTGAGAGGCCTGAAAATCTGGTCTGTATAACTGCGAAAACTCTGTTTTGGATAAACCCTCTCCTGCCTACCTGCATTTATAATTCTAATAACTGTAAGAACAGGAAAGTGCAAGTTTCAGTGTGTGCTCTCCCTTTGTTTCTTCACAGATATTTTACTATTTTGTGGAAAACAGCAAACAAGTCAACAAGAAAGGAGTTGTGTTAACTGCACTGGAACACAAATACAGAGCTCATCAACCAACAGAGCTGACTAAGACGGATACCAGTGGAGGAAAAAAAGCAGCAGAAGTCCTTTCCTGGTGATTATACTGGCTAGAAACTAAAACAAAATTTTGGTACACATGCTTGCAACAACAAAGACCTGGGTGCAAATGTTTTACTTCTGAGACAGTACACAGATTGCTCCTCCTCTGTAAAAGGACCTGAGCAACCTCAGTAGGAAGAGTCCAAATGCAAAGCAACACCCTGTGTTATCTGGAACACAAAGCTCTTTAGAGAGATGCTTCAAGACAGCTTGCACGTGCCCTGGGGTCTCCTGAACTTCTGACTTTGACCTCTAGCCTCCAATTACAGTATACTGTCAATGCTGTTTCTCACCTGGGCCACTCCGTTTGTGGGAAGGGCCATGGCAGAAGTAGCAGCCGTGGTGATAACGCCTCCTGATACTCTCAGCACAGTGGTGCCAGGCTTGGAGAGCTGGGATGAGGTAGGCACTGATTTTAGAGAACCATCTGATATTTTCATCAGTGATGTCTGTCCACTGGGTGCAGCCTTTGAAATGGAATTCAATGTAATAATTTATTTTTTTTTTTAAAGAGACAAATGCTTTTTACTAAAATACAAAATACTTTTAATAGACTTTTCCTCTTCCAGTGAAAGAAGGCATTTTGTGGTAAAAATAGCTGGAAACCGTTAGACACAACTTCCATCAACTCAAATTGCTGACTTACAAAAATACACCTACCAATTTTGGATGGTCAATCTCAGGCGCTCTAAGGGAGTTTTAATTTCACAGGGACCACTCAGTACTTTTTTAAAAAAGGGCCTCTGAGGAACCTCAAGACAGTCAGGGCCAAAAATTTCAAAGAGAGTTAGCAGGCGTCCCATTTTTAAGATTCAAATATTTAAGCATATTTTTGTACCTGACTGTATTCACTTCTTTAATTCCCGATCATTAAGAAATCCTTGAGCCCATCTATAAACTAGCAACTCGAGGTTATATGTAACCTACTCTGAGAAAGTACATAAAGCTGGAAAACTGGTCTACTATCTGCCATGAAATTAGGCTTTCACGTACTTTCCTTACATAGTGCAGCCAATATTTTAATTATACAGAAGAAAAAACAACAACAACAAAAAAGGCAAACATATCATCATGTGTGTTTGCATCTCCTATGTTTTATTTGACAAAATACTGAGCGGTAAGAGAGAAACGTATCATTCGCAAATTACCTGTGCAAATAAAGCTGTTTTCTGCCCAGTTATCACTTTTAACGCTTGCTGTCCTTGTGTGGAAGATGATCCAACTCCTACGCTGCCCTGAACAACTGATGCTGGTGTCAGCTGCTTCCCAGAACTCTGAGGAGAAGGCTGGCCAACCAGAAAAGTGCCCTGCTCCAGAAACAAGAGTTAGAGAGATCAGTACTTTCAAAGACAGTTAACACAAACCTATGAGTGTCAATACAGAATACAAACGTGTAGCTGTAATGCCACAGCAACATTCGTAGGTGTTCTCTGCGACGCACAATAGTGTTTTAAGTCGATTTTTGACATTCTACTTATCTGCTGCCTCATCAAAACCACTTGGAATTAAAAAAGAAAAAAAACTCAAGTCCTCATCTTTGCTGACCCCAGTGAAAGGGCTTAGAGGAAGTCTCCACTTTGCCCAGACCCGAGAGCTAGCAGCACACCAGTACCACAAAACATTTTGTCCTTGAAAACACTGCACCTTTAATTACAGTGGATGGTTCTGCACCCACAGCCAGGCACAGTCACCTTGGTGCAAAAAACCACTTTCTAAGGCAAGGAAGGTGTGAAAAAGCCACAGTGAGTTTCCAGTCTCCTCAGAGGCATTCAATACAATTTACACACCCCATCATCTTCAAGTTTATTCGTTATGACAAACGCTACTTACCTTGCAAGACCAGAGAGGCTACTGCTGGGCTTGGCAAAAAGGAGAGGGTATTTTGTTGCCTTCTAGTTTCAAAACCCAATCAGTCCTCCCACAGGGCCACATATTCAGAGCACAGCCTGTGGCAATCAGATCCACAGCTGGAGGCCTGCACCTACCACCTGAGGCCTTCCTGTTTCACATCATTATTCAATTGCTATCCTTCAGAGGCTTCATTCGCTCTCCCATCTCACGTGGATCCCTGCATACAATCCTCTGTTTTCTAATCTTCCTTACTCAACCTCGCCATTTCTCTCCAACCCTTCTCCTTTTTCTCCTATCTCTAGTGCTTCCCTCAAGGTCTTGCACATCCATCTGTGTAAGACAGCTCTTCCAATATCATCTCTGTCATATGACACTTCTTGTGCTGGAGACTGCTTGTTCCCCTGCAATCATGCGCTCCTGTTATATCCCATCTCTTCTCCCTCCGCTGCTTGCCCTGGTCTTACTCAGTGTTGCTTTCTGAGCCTGCAAGAAACCGTAAGGGGTACCTTACACCCTGCTATGGGAAGTGAGAGGCAGAGATGTGCAGACGGCCAACAGAAAACCAGATGCCTGGCAGAGGGGAGAGGCAAGGGTTGCAAAAAGAGGATCCAGACCCCATAGCCCGAGACTGTTTCACCTAGCACAGAACCACAGGATACCCACACATCACCAACCGCAACCCGAAACGTCAATCTGCTTCAGTTAAGACGCTTATGTCGCTGACCTGCGGTGTCTGCTTCAGGATGTAGGACGTATAGGTGAGATGTTGTGACAAGTTACTGCTTGTGCTTTGGGTCGCTCCTCCTCCACCACTATTTGTAGAAGAGCCAGACTGGAGACCTGTAACCAGAATAAAAGGCTTGACCCCTTAGTAACCGGACGCTGTCAGCTGCTTAAGCAACCCTGTATGTACGACTAACTGAAAATACCTTGCAAGATGCTTGCTGCCACGTTTTGTAGCTGAATAGCATCCAAGCATAGACACAACAATTTCCCAGTACAGCACAGTTCATATGTGCTGCTGTGCTCTCCTATAGCTCAGCAACTGCCATGAGCACAAGGAGGTATGAGGGGAATAAGGAGGACCTGTGGACATGCAAAGCTATTTTTCAGGCTGCTGTGAAATTGTTATCATCAGAAGAAAACAATGCCTGACAACTGAACAGTCTTTTCAGCAGTCTCTTACAGATTATGAATCTGCAGCAAAAGCCCCGGCAATACTCTGAACCCTACTGGCTTCTTGCTTTCATTTTTGCTGGCTGTTCCTATGCAATTTTGTTAACACAGAGTACTGACTCATGGATACTAAAGGGTGATGCTTTGCAGCAGTATTTTGATCTTGCTCTGCCTCCAGAAGGAACATTCTGGACACAGCCTTTTCTGCAGTCTCTCATTAAGAAACAAGGGTCAAAAAATATTTATGATTTTATCAGTAAACTCATAAACGTTAGCTTTCTTGAGGCCTGTGAGATTATTTCCTTGTCAAGGTAGGACTGCCTTCGCTGCCTCTATAAATCGCAAGAAATGGGGCTCCCCTCACAAGTTCTACAGCCTAAAACACGTTTGCTAAGGGTATCTAATTTTTCAGTGACATCTACTGTATTACTGTGCCACTGGTATTTACAGCCTTATATATTAAACTGAACAACACCTCCTCCCCACTGCCAAGATCAGAACTGGGAGCAAACAACGTTGCACCCATTCTATCCTCCATCCCAATCCCTAACCTCAACATGAGCATTCTGGGCAAGGCTCATAAAACTCTTCATCTATACAGACCAAAACCCGCACTATTCTTTTCCGACAGCAATAGCACACTATAAACAAATTGTTGCCCATTAGAACCCATTTAGCGATGCTGTTCTCCAGGTTTGTCACAGCGGGTTTGAGTCAAAGCACCCCATAGCACTCCTGATGTTCTCAACAGTTTGGGGTCCAACCTTCTATCAATATTTGAAACTATTTCTTCCCTTCATTTCAGACACAGGATCTTGTCCCTTTCAAAGTTAGTTTCTTATTTTTCCAGTTTCTCCAGGGTTTCTTTCTATGATATATTAATAGCTTTTGCCTTCCGATTCATCTCAGTTTTACATCAGGAACATGAAGTTCTCTCTGCCTCTATAGATCATAATGAAGAGTTAAAGAGAATCCTTAGCTGCAAAATTTCAGAACAATTACAGTGTCTGCTTTGGGCAGACAAGCAGAGATTGAGAATGCTGCACAAAAAGCAGTTTCATGTACAGTAGGAGACGCTTGTGAGATTTCAGTCTTTAAAAGTACCACATACTGTTTTTGTTGTGAACAAAGGAATCTCATCCCACTACTGACTTCCACAGTACCAGGATGCTTTATAGCAAAAGGGGCAAACGTATTAAATACGAAGTGATTACATTATTTAACTCATTAGATTTCCCTGCAAGACTAACTAGCATTATTTGTGGCTCGCAGTATGGCTCCTTGGGGTATTAGAAGCAGTTTTCCTTTCCCAGAAGGATTCTTGCTGTTGGTGGTGAGGTAAAGTTTGGTGCCTGGTGGTAAGTTTGCCAAGTTTGCCAGGTTGGTGGCTGGTAACTGCAGTGTAGCCATCACTAGGAAGACAGAATAAAAAAAAGTAAGTTAATGCTTGCAGAATGCATTGAAATCTGCACAGGATGAAAGGCCTAGGAGAGGCATGCACTCAGCCTTTGATAATCCATACTTAGCTAGCCTAACTGCAGATCAACTCCACCAACGATGCATAAACACTTTAAGTATGTCCGAAGAAATCTCTATGCATTCAGTATCACCTATGGCCACAGCCCAGACAGGAACAACCCTGGGGCCAACAGGGCTCACTTGAGTTTAGAGGCCACACAGCACCTTTCAAACAGTCCAGAGTCTGAGCTGAAATGCTCAGCTGATGTCAGCTGTGCGCAGAAGCAGGCTGGGTGCTTCTGCCCACGCTACCGTAACTGTAGGCACTGGGGAAGATGTGCAGATGCAATGAGGAGAGCTAGTTTGGCTTTTGTTGTTTGGGTTTATGCGGAGCCGTTTGGGCTCCTAGAGACCACAATGCTGGGCAAAAAAAAGTATGAAAGCTGATTTGGGTCTCTAGCTGGTATCTTGGCTATCTCGCTGATCTGCGCCCCCAGGCTTCTCCCCGCCCCAGGGCACCTGGAACCACCACTGCCCACAAACCCAAGGGCCGACTTGAGGTCTGACAAAACTGTGTGCTCCATTCACAGAACACTGCATGTTTTGAAGTACTTGTGCTCTCTCTCTTCCCCCTTAAAGATAATTAACAACATTTTCTTTCTTACTACACCAGCCTCAGTCAGCCAAAATTTCCCTCTGGACTTCTATACTAATTTTATTTGAAGTTCTTCTACCCCACCCAGTTATCTTCGGACTTGAACGAATCATTACAGAGCCCCATAATCTCCCCATGAGTCATTACCAAGGTGTAAAATTACTCTACCTGAGCCTTGAGATGCACTTTTCTGAGCACCTGCTGAAGCAACCTGCGCCTTTGTTATAGTCTGTACAGGCTGGGCAACAATTGTCCCTCCACCTCCACTCACGATGGCTTTGGCTACACCTTGAGTCACAACCTGCTTCGGACCAACAGCCTTTGCTACGGAAGAACTAGATTTTGCCACAAGTATCTGGCCACCACTGATGGCCACCGCTTGTTTCACTGTTGACTGTAAAGCAGAACCAACTGGAACACCAACAACCTGCAACAAATAAGCATCAAATGATGTGCTTCTAGCAAGAGTAACCACTGAAATTCTCTCTGGTGCACTACCCCAATCACCAAGCGTTTTAGGACAGTTTATACATATCTGCCCATGTATAAAGGCTATTCATTCTGAAATATAACTAAACTGGGAAATGACCAACCCCAGATGAAAACACAAACACAACCAGGATTTCAGAGCACCCACAAAAGACTGAGTGCATTCAAATTACAAGGGCACCTTTATTTTTCTCTGATACGTAAGCAATGGCTTAATTCCAACTGAAGATAAAGCTTGCCTTGGCAAAGCAGAGATCCAAAAACTTAGTTTCAACTCATTCATGGAAACAGACTCTCTGGGAAAACTATAGCATCAACTAAGAATGCACCAAGTGCTTCAATTTTATGTGTTGACAATATCTGCAGGCAAACACAGAGCTTGCATACTTGCTCAAATAGGCAAATAAGCCAGTAAAAAGGACTATGAACTGTTGCAAATGCAAATGTGTATTTACATATGCATAAGTAAAAGCTACTTATTTTTCCGCTTGTGCTTGGCACATGATATGACTGTATCCATAACAGGAATGGGAAAGAAGGGGGAGAACCTCTGCTGCATCCGTTATCTTGCCACTGCACGCTTACTGTGCCTTCCGAGAAGCTGCTTTTCTTTTGCCACAGCAGCACTGCAGTGGCACAGACTCCTACGACAAAACACCTGGTCCTGTTGCTGCTCAAGGAGGATTGCTTCCACCTTATGCTAGTTCTGTTCCAGCCTCCACCCCTACTCTCTATTTTTCCTCTTCTTTTTTAGCTGCAGTCCTGTTGACCATAGAAAGAATTTGATTCCTCTTACAAGACGACCTGGGTGAGTTTCAGCAAGCATTGATGATGGCAGCCAACCTCCTGGGACATCAGGATGCAGTTCAAGCACACCCCCACCCTGCTGCTGCTATGGGTTAGAGAGAAGTGGGAGATGCTCCCTGTAAACAGTGAAACACAATGGTGCCTGCTCATCCTGCTCTCTTCACAAGCAGGAAAGGTGAGCATGATACGAGGCACTCTGCGCACATGGGGAAACCAGCCACCCAAGGTGCTGCTGCCTGTGCCCTGTAGGAAGCCGGTCTGAGGCAGAACTGACCCTACATCCCTGGGAGAAACACAAGGCATTGCAATGAAAATGCAGGGAAGAAGAACAGCTCACACCAATGCACAAGTGCCCCATACCTTAGACTGCACTGCCCCCTCTCCTGTGCTCATGACTGGCTTCTGCGGTGACAAGGCTAACATGTGGCTGCCTTTCACAGTGACATACTGCTGCACAGAGGCCTGAGTGGTTGTCCCTGTTGCTGGCAGTTGGGGTTGCTGGGGCAGCTCTCCCGGCTCCTGTTTTATTATCACCTTTTGAATAGGAAGAAATAAAAACAAGAAAACAACTAAATCACTCGGGATCATTCCCGCAAAAGCCTGTCTGCAAGAAAGGGCACGCAACAGTCAATAACTCAAATGTGGCTCTTATACACAGCTAGGTGAACTCTGCAACCCACCTCCAAAGTGTAAGAGGAGGGCTAATCCTGACACACAAGTGTGTGATGGGGATACAAAATATTCAAAATTTGAGGAGTGCTCATAGAAATTGCTAGAAATACCGCAATGGAGAGTAAAACTAATGATGGGACTTGGCCATATGCGACTTCCTCAGAGCCTGCATCCCAGAATGCAGCCAGAACGCTTTAAGGTTTCAAATTTCTAAACACCTTTCTGTTCAGATCATGCTCTAAACCCATTTTCTTTTTCCTGTCCTGCAAAATCATAACTCATATTACAGCTACAGATATTTTAACTGATTATAGCTAATACTATTATTTCATGTATAGCTAAAAGTGGTTATATGCAACTCTGGGATAGATTCTGAAACTAGTTGCTAAGATCAGCAGCTCAAGAAAGGCTGACTTTTGTGTTAGATTGCTGTAGGTATGGTAAGTGGTAGGAGGGACTCCGTCATGCTACTCTTGGATCACCTAATACTACCAGCGACAACTTTAAATTCAGGCTGGTATTATTTAAGGAAATGCACTCACAAATGGCAACATCTGACATTCAGAAGTCACTATAGCATTTTGTATGAAACTCGTGACAAATGAGCCTACTTTTATTGCATCCCAATGAGAAATAGCTTTGAAAACATTAGCTTTATATAGCAGTGATTCAAAGGACAACAAGAAAGGATGAAAGAGAAGGAAAAAAAACCCCACCCCACCACACACTAACAGTAGAGCCACAGGAAAAGAAAAGAAAAACAAGATGTGCTTGTTCAGAGGTGCTAGAGAGCTCTTGGCACCCTGACTCCAGCAACAGCTTTCCATGCACTTGAAGTTATACGCTTTGTGGCACATGTTGGCACAAAAATGGCACTACTGAGCTCCTTTTTCCTGTACAAAAGCCAAGAGAAATACCTTGGTAAAAGCTCCAAGGCCTCCTGTCACAGATTTGGGGCTTTGCACCTTGGAATGACTTCCAATGGGACAAAGGGGTGGCATGGTGGCAAACAGAGAATCTTCCTGCTGCAATAAGAAAGATACGGCACAAAATCAGTGAAATAGGCAATAAAGAAATAAAGCAAGCGACTGCTAATGAGGGGTAGCATGGATAATCTGGGCAGCCCCAAATTACCTGCACAGATAAGCCATTTCCAAAAATCAGTCAACACTTAAATAAAAGGCACGTTACACACTTAATACAAACCTTCAAAGCAAATTTTCTTTGGCAAGTTACATCTCCACTGGCAGTAAGTCCTTCTTACCATACCATAAAGCAAGTGAAACAAATCAACTCAAGCTCCTCCACCAGCTTTCTATATATAGCATTTCAGAGCTGCATATATAGAGTAGGCAAATAATTTGCATACTTTAGCCTTAAGAAGGGAAGGCTCAGGAGGGTTCTTCTCAATGTGTATAAATACCTGATGGGAGGGGGTAAAGAAGATGGAGCCAGAAACTTCTCAGTGGTATCCAGTGAAAGGACAAGAGGCAATGGGCACAAATTGAAATACAAGAAATTCTGTTTAAACATAAGAAAAAACTTTGTTTACTGTAAGAGTGATCAAACACTGGAACAGGCTGCCCAGCTATATTGTGGAGTCTCCATCCTTGGAAACAGACAAAACCTGAATGGACACAGACCTGAGCAACCTGCTCTAGTTGACCCTGCTTTGAGCAGTAGGGTTGGACTAGATGATCTCCAGAGGTCCTCTCCAACCTCAGCCATTCTATGATCCTATACACAATCCAAGATATAGAAGAAGTAACAAGTTGAGGAGCAGGAGGAAAAAAAAAAGTTCAATTCAAATCGGCAAGCAAAATTATCTCAGATGAATTTTTGCTCTCATGTAAGTAGAGAGATCCGACGGCACGCAGCCTTTCCAGGCAGAACTCTTGATTTGGCAGAAATAGTGAAGCTACCTAACTAAATGGAATAAACACACTTCCACACCTGCAAAATTGTATTTATTTCATTCTTGGATCTGATGCTGGCAGAGAAATCCTCAAATGCATTTGAGGATGTTTGTTACGGTTATGCTTCATTTAATTAAAATAATTGCATTCTTTTACAATTAGCATGAACTCAGGCTACAGTTTCACAGTCACTCTGATCCAACCCAAGGACAGGCCATGACCAAAAGACCCAAACTCCAACCCCACATTCCTGCCATCTTCCTTGGGCTGACACATGTGGCTGAAAACAGGTCAGAGTTACCTGCTCTGGTTCACCACATGCCTAGGCAACTACTAGCAAAAAGGAGGAAGCATGAAGACAAGGCTACAGGCACAATGAGTCCTTTCAACAACAGCCTGCACCTAGGTCACTTTAAAGTGACTAAAGAAACATAGCCTTAAGTCATTAAGGAAAAAAAATACAGAGAAAACTAGCACTTATTGAAGAGATGAGAAACGTGAATTAAGCATAGTCTGTAACATCACTCAACTATCAGATATTCCCCTTGTCTTAAAGGAACCTTAAAAAATACAAGTTCTCCACCTAACTGAAGATACAAGCACATAAACCACAATATATTTCAGTTTACAGAGTTGTGGGTTTTTTAAAATATCTTCAGCTTTCATCTGGCTTTGCCCTGGAAATACAGAACTCAATCAATAGTAGTAATAACAACATGTGCCTACTCTGACTCATTAAAACCTTACAGAACGAACTGTCCCAAACCAGTGCAAAATACAGATTAAGAATGATTTTACCAATGTTAAGTGAAATCCATCTAAGCAGAGAGGCTCTTAAAAAACTGAATAGGTGGTTGCACACCTAACATTTAAAACACTACTCCAAACTAATTGCTTCAGATAGCGATCTTCAATATGTCTTTCCTAACATACATGGGAAGCATTTCAGTTACACATATAAAAGTGTTTGTTCTCTGCAGGCTGACTGGTAAACCCCCTCCACACCTCTCTCCACCATCAATATTCCTGTGACCTGGGGACAGGGAAATGCTCCTGTTTTCAGCAGCATGTTGCTGCTGAAACATTTCCACCAGTTGCTTTTTGCTGAGGCCACTTGCTTGCCAGAAATATCCTTCCTTGCGCAAGACATGGAAGAGATTTTATCTGAGATACTTCAGCTTCATACCTTTTGGGCTTTGCAGGTGACAAGTATGAACCCTCTTCACTGTCCGTTTACACACTCAGTTACTCCACTGTTTACATGAACGTTTTTCTCAATTTAGGCAGGTGTAAAGCCACTAAACAACCTATTTTCAAATTAGGAACAGCTGCTATGCAAAAATAACGAACACAGCAGAGGTTTTGAGGTAGGCATTGCTAGCGTAATCGCATACTGTCATCAACAAAGTGAAGAAGATCAAAGTCATTTATGGAACAGCCCCTTTGAAAGAGGAGGCATTTTGAGAGCTGTGCCCTCTGCGGATTTCCTCATGGTAAAGCGAGAGTGGTGCCTTTAACAGAGGCACAGGCAACTCTAACTACAGCTGCATAAACTGACACTATCATCTTGTATAACCACCACGTTCTCATAGGGCTACAGCTGCTAGACAGGGAAAAATTGTATATGAAATGACAAGAAGTTGCCCAAGAGGCAGAATTTATGATACTAAAAAAAACCTATGCCGTAGGAAGCTGGGTTTTGAATGGAAAGTACACACCTAACAAGAACATTACCTTGACAGCTGAGGTTACAAAACTGCTCCCATGGGTCTTTGATACAGGAGATCCAGTTCCATGAGAGGCCTGACAAACATTTGTCAGTTTGCTGGTTGGGCTCCCTGCATATCGGGAAATAAAGCAGATTTGAGGTGAGGGCCACGGAACGGTGCCACTGAACACATGAAACTTTTCTTCTAACAAGGAAGGTGGCGTTTCACTTCAAGTTTATATTCTCCATGAGGTACACAAAATGAGGTACGTCAGTGGGAGCAGGGAAGGGCACAAGCCAAATTAATTTCCATTATGAAGCTGAAAAAAAGAACTCAAACCCAAAACACTAATGTCCCCAAGAAGTTGAGACAGTTATAAAAATAATGGGGAAAAGTAGGCCTTTGTCTCCATCACCTTCATGGAATTAGAAAGGAGACACTTTTTCAATAGTTGAGCAGCCTCCTATTTATACTCTATTCCAGCAGGACCTAAAACCCAACATAGTTCTGCAACACCCACGGCGACAGCCACTACCAAATTTTCACGTGCAGAATCCACACCCCAGTGAGCGTGCTCTCAGAGCTCTGTTCCTTGCACACAAACAGTCAGGTAACTTGCTGGACGACTGAGGATATTAGCTACAGATGTGAACGTGTGAGATTAAGGCAGTAAACGAGCTGCCAGTCAGAACTTGCTACTGCAAACGTAATTCCTTCCCCTCCTCAGAAGCCCTCTGAACCTACACTACCCTCAGACACTGGCATCTGGAAAGGGTTGGGGGAAGCTGGAATAAACAGGAGGAGAAAGGAACGCCAGAAAAAGAGAGATGTAGCGTGAGGAGTAACAAGACTGAGAGAGGTAGGGAAAAAGAAACAGAAACGAGGAATGAAGACACAGGTCCCTGTACCTGCAGAAGATGACTGCTCTGGGAAGAGTAACATATGGAGACGTTTGCCACAGCACGCTCCACGACCACCCCGAGACGGATGCGGGCTCAGGAGCGGAAGGTAAACTTACCCTTGTATTATCAGAGCATGTATGCAACACATTGCTGAGCAGCAGTTCTGTTAATACTACTGATTTGGTTTTGTTTGTTCTGTTTGTTAAGAGACACAAAAGCCGTGGATTATACACATGAAAATACAGTAACAGTCTCTCAGATAGTTAAACCATAATCTGTATACTGAAATTTAAAAGTAAACTGTGCAGCCACTTCTAGAAATAAGTGATTTGTGAAAGCTGGCTTTTACAAAGCATGAAGTTTCAGTTCTCACCCTTCTTTTTAAATATGATTGGTAGGCTTTATCAAAAATGCGATATTACAGCGAAAGTCACTGGGACATTACGCTCAAGCCAATCTGGCGGCTGCTGCCAGAAAGGGCCAGATCCACATCCCCTCTCCTTCCCTGGCACAGTGTCTGGTGATGAGCCTATCCAATAACAAAACTCCATTTGGGGTGGAGGATGTTAGTTTTCCACTCTGTCACTGAGCTGACCCGACTCATGTGAGATACAAGGGAAGTAGCAGGAAAGGAAAGGAAAGGGGCGGGGACAAACAATTTCTTTCAGGCCAGTCTGTACTTACATCACACTAATGGAGTGGGAAACTGCACCTTTATAGAGGCATTAAGACCTTTATGTCCAGCCCAGCTGGTGCTTCTACAAATCCTATCCTCCACGTACAAATCTTTACTAGGAGAACATGACAGTTACCCAAACTGTGATAAACCATACGCAATTTCAAATGCGGATTAGACAGTCGGGTTGGAGGTGTGGAAGAACTGAAAACCAAAAGTAGTGGTGAAACAGCTTCAATTTTACCAAGAAAGCACCAAAACATACTGAAAAAAACTCTGTTATTACTAGGTTCCCCCTAGCAACTCTCCTATGATGAAGCTAAAATTAACACAACATTACAGTTGTTGACTCTCCCTTCCCCTCAGCCAAAAGGAGAAAATGCTGTTAAGAATTTTCTCATTTTCAAACCAAGTCCAGCAAACTGTTTGCGCAACATGGATACTGCAGATCACCACATGGCTTCGAGCATCATTCTGAGACGTTGGCAAAAACACACGTGCACAAATGAATGTGTTTTCAAGCAGATAGTGGTTCTTGGCTAGTGCATCACAACAACAAAAAAAAAAAAAAAAGATTTGCAAGCAGTGACCGTCACCTAAAGACCCTGCATAAAGATTACCAGTTGGCTCCCACACCCATCACCCGTCTCCTCCAGTACAGTACTCCTCCCCTCCTCCTGACATCAGGTTTATGCCACCTTTGATGCACCAAGGGAATCCAGATGGAGGAATCCAAATCGGCTGGAATCAGATCAGCTAGAAGTTGATAGCAGTGACAAAAATTAACACATCTGCTTTCCTGGTAACCCAGGTCTACTTAACCAACTGTTTCAACACATCTGGAGCACCGTACACTGAAACTTAGTCTGATCTGCAAGTCACTGCAAGCTCTACCTGCTTTTTGCCCATATCCAAGACACTGCACCAGTCCTCACCCAACCACCTGCGCCTTGTTTCCGTTTAAAACTCTATGCACCATAGTCTACAATACTTTCTCCTCTTCTTTTTTTGCCTGAAAAGCACAGGCTCTCTTTGAAGAGGCATCTGTGAATTCTATTTGACCTTATTCTACGTACTGTTTCCTAAAGCAAGTTATTAAGTTAAACTCCTATACTTCCATAACCATGTTACAGGCCAGTTATGCAAGCCACTAATACCTCCCTCTTTCTTCGCTGCGCACTTTTCCATCTTCACAGATTGAAGTAGTTAGTATACTAATCATTTTAAAGGGAGAACAAACTTTAATGGGAAACACTACGCCACTGCCTTCTATGATCACACTACACACCTGTGCTCGTGGCTGCTGCTCCAACCATCTGTCCAGGCTTGTCCACAATAATATACGGGTTATTAATGACTGAACTAGCAGAGCCTTGCTTCATGTGCACCGGAGTGGAGGTTGGGGTACGAGGTAGCGGAGATGGACTAGGGGTCGATATTGGAGAACCTTAAGAAAAAAATGCTTCTATCTTGTAAATCTCGTAAGAACATAAAAAATACAGCAACAGTAACACTTTTAAAAAATGACTTGGTGAAGGGACATTTTTGAGGATGCATTTCCCAGGCTGAGCCAGATCACAGGACTTAGCGAAAGGAGGGGACAGAAGGAAAGGAAGAGGAATGTAAAGCATTATGGCTCATACCTACCCTGGGCATTCTCCAGCTACCAAGCCAAACAGGGCTCACAGGGGCATCGAGAAGCCATCCAGTCCATCCCCTAATGCTGAAGTGGATTAACATTACCTACCTTATCATCTCTGCCAACTCTAGTCTACTCAAGGAGATGAACAGAGAGAGCTAAGCTCCCTGATGTGCACTTTCTTGCCCTTGTGGAGCCTACAGTGCACGCATTCGTAGCCATCAATGAAATTGTTCATGTATAAAGGCCATGAAATACAGCAGCCGTTAGGTAGGCCAGGCCACTCTTGTCTCTCTACGGCTCTTATTACAGCAGAAGCCCTTGAAAGCAACTGCTCTAGAGTATGCAACTTCTGGATAAGAGGAACAAAAGAGAGAAAAAACTAAAGAGAAGAAAAAAGCTGAGAGGGGAAGGAAACAATAAATGCACACAAAAGGACAGGCAAGAAAGTGATCAGAAAAAGAGATGGCAAACACTAGATTTCAGCTGCCTATTAATCAGCTTTCTAGGGAGGGACTGACAGCTAAAACGGAGGAGAAATGCCAATCAAAGAAAACCCCAATGACTTATAAATCACGGTTGAAATCTGAAAGGTGTGACACTTCTCAGCAGACAGAAGAGCCTTGGAAAAACATTTGGCAAGGAAACATTTAAATCGAAAAGATCAGCACAGACTAGCCCAAGGATTTCAAGAAAGATAAGATGCTCCTGTAATTCTCGCTTTCTGGGAAGGCTTGGGAAAAGAAGATCAAGAGTAGATAGTGAGAAAGACGAAAGCACTTGGCACAGATTCAAATGTAAATTGCTAGTAGCTTGAGTACAGTTTTAAGATGTCAAGGAAAAATACAGAATGAAAGAAAACACACTTGAGGAAAATGAAGTTGGGAGCAGATCATCATAAACCACACGTACTGATAGCTGGTGCTTCATTCTGTCTACCCTGAACACCAGAAAATGAAGGATGTAACAGGTCATCCTTTCATGTCCACAAGTGACTTGGTGAGCTGCATGTTAAAAACTTTCTGATGTAAAACATCATCCAGTGGAGGGCAACATGCCCAGGCAGACAAGGGACTAAGTCAAGTGAGTAAACAGCACCTTGACCATGTTGGGTTCAGAAGGTGTCAAAAGAATATCATATTGCTCACTGCAGTCATCTGATGATTTAATGCAACAGAGAGCAGACTTTTGGGAGAGATGAAAGCTGTTCAATCTGAGGAGATGATAATGCAAGCACAAGAGGGTCCATTTGAGTGTACAAGGTTGAACCTAATTACTTGCCCCGGGGGAGAAAAGCATTTCTTCTTAATCCAGCCCAGTTATCTGAAAGCGGGAAGAAGAATGGCTTCTTCCCACACACAAATACCCCGCACGGAAGAAGTGTTGTTGCCTGGGCTTTTGTATGGGTAGCAGTCCAGTTAAAGACTGTATCATTACCGTAGTTAAAACCTGTTCATGAACAGGGAGAGAATAGCTCTCATCCTGCATTTGATCTTGAACTGACAAGGTAAGCATTTCACACCTGTTATTTTTTTCTTTCGTGTTAGAATCGTGTTTAACTCCTTATTCTAGAATTTCCTATTGCCTGATGTTGAAACTTTGGCAGGAAAGCAGGGAAAGGACACAAAACAAGTCCAACTGGTTCAATCTCTTGTTTTCGAGGGTGAAGCACTTAGATATGTAAACTAACATTCACCTGATACAATCTTGCAACTCATGGTGATAGGCTGGAAGGATTTTCCTGGAGACTCTGCAGGGCTTGGAATCTGACCTTGAGGCACTATTTTGCAGCTAGCTGCAATGGGTTGAAAGGCTGAATTTCCATGAGAGCCAAAGGCAACTTTCTGTGTGGTTAATTTGGTGGGAGTCCGTTCTATCGAAGACGGCAGAGAATAAAACGTGGCATGTCTTTCGGTTTCAGCATTCCCAGGGAATCCTGATTAAAACAGGGAAAAGAAGAGAAATAGTTCTTAGGCTGAGACATCTAATCCCTTACTGTGCTTCTCTACACAAACAAAATTAAGGTATGACAAACACGCTCTCAAACCAAGGAAGGAAAAAGCAAGTGGTGGGCAGAGCTGAATGGGGAGAAGGTGGGCTAAGGGATCCTCCTGTGGAGGTCTGTTGGATTTGTCTCTGAACAGAAGAGCCATATGCTACCACACATAGCCTGCTCAGCTTTGGTAGGCTATCAGCCCCTTCTCGCAGGTTTTCTTGGTAGAGAACCTTCCATTGACCAAAAGCTGTTGGGAGTTTTGAGCGTCCACAGTTAGCGTTCTGCACAGCTAGGGCAGAGTTTCCTTCACAGGTAATTTCTCACTGCGTTTTTTTGGAGTAAGAGCACAAGGAGACCAACTACTGCCTCCTGACCTGGGTTTAGGAATCCATCTTATTTGATGCAGAAGGTGATCAATTAACCATGAGCTGATGAGAGAAGCCACTGCCGGTTAGCACAAGAAAGAGGCAGGTTTACCTCCTTCCTGTTTGTTGTAAAGGTGCTGCATATCTTCATGTTCAAATAAAAGCCTGTGCATTTAAAATATAGTTGCACTTCTCCTTTTTCGGGTGTGCTACTGACATAAGAAAACACCACACTTAAATAACGGACATTCTTCTCTCCTCACCGAACCAGGACAACGTCCGTGGCATTACATGATCTGGCAGAAAGAATGCACCACGTAAGACATCAGCATTGCAGCACGTTCTTTACACAGGAGTGCCAGGATAGACCAAGAAGGGCATCAAACCATCCTGCATGTGATCACATTCTGAAATATGTAAGCTGCTGTTTTCTGCTACTTCCTCATGCCAAAACGTGGGACCTATAAAAGAGTCCCTTGTTTCTCATCTCAGCCCAGCTGAGTTCTGTCATACAAGCCTCGACACCATGTATTTGAGAAAAAAGGTAAAATTAAAACAGAGGCACAGGTTTTCCTACTTCACGCAAACTATAAAATCAGAATCCTGTGCTCAAGTGGCCAGCACGCAGCTTGTTTCAGGCAACTCAAATGATTCTGAGGTGACAATTGCTGGCACGTTGCAAGGGGCGCCTTGGAACTCAGTCCAAGCATGCGGCTGCTGAAGACAGGAGACAAAGACAAAGCAGCACTTCACCACAGGAAGAAATAAGTTTGCTTCAAAAGGAGCAAAAGATGATAGTTACACAAACTTGTAACTCCATATATAGAGAACAGGTTTTAACTCAGACTATTTGGACTGTGCAAACATTTTTGTTGTAAAATGAATTCTCAGTAAGATGCAGATACAAAATATGCTTACAAGCTCTCAAAGCAAGCAAACTTGCCGTTTTAGAGAGCGGCCATTAAACAGAGAATACGAGAAGGAATGGCTGTGGCAAACGGAGACTTGGTTTCTGTTCAAAACGCAAAGACAGCGACTCCCAACTCTGAAATCTGACATCAACAAGAACAAAACAATACCTGAAATGCTGGGGTTTGTGAATGGGATTGAGGGAAGCTGGAACGCTCAAGAGTACTGCTAGTGCCAGGAACCCCTGGACAACCATACTTGAGAGAGCAAGCTAATTTGCTCTAAGAAGGTTCAAATCCTCTTCTGTGATTTGGCTCTGGCTAGCTGAGGACCATTATCTTCCCTCTTCCAAGCTGAACTACTCTGCAAAGGAAGGACTCAATTCACTGGACTTGAGAAGAAGCCAGCAAGAGTGAATGTGGTTAGTGGCTGGGACACTCGTCTCACATGTAGACGTCTGGGCTTGCCCCCATGAGGTAAAGCGCAGATCTTCTACTAGTATGGTGCCTGCTCTGTTGAAGCTGCGTAAGAGGACACCTCTACTCCTCCTGTCCCTTTCCACTTAAATCTGAATAAAAACAGGAGCTGCCAAGGAACAGTTCACAGATCTGCTCCTTGGACTGGGTTCCTCCAAGGACTGAAGCCAGAAAGTGCCCCGTGTGGGGACAACAATCAAGCTGAGGCAGAGGAGAGTCCAGTGGCGAAAGCACGCTGCCCCTGTGGCTCGTATGTAGCATCAGCCTTCTGGGAATTACCACCTCTCTGCAGCTCTGAGCCCAAGTCAACTCACCAGTCAGTAGTTAGGCACTCTGAGCCCACAAAGCCACGGCATGTTTTCTCTGTGCCTTAGAATCCCACCTGTGCCACAGGATAACCACATGTCCTGATCTTATGGGGAAGGTAAAAATGAGACTGTGAAAGTCAGTGATACGCACAGAGGACACCCCTCAGAAAACCGTACACTACAACATCTTCTTCACTGTCTACGTACACCACCATAGCTATTTAATCACTTTTGGCAGAGTCAATGCCTGTTAGGAAACAGCATGTACCTGAACACACCACTAGACTAATGCCTTAAATGTATACATGGAGCCTCCAAAACATTCAGAAACCTGAAAAACCCTCTGAAAACACAGTTTGCCAAGAGCAAAACTACAAATGCTATTCAACAACTGTTCTTTCCAACTACGTTTGCTGCATAAAGCTCCACATTCGCTAAGTTTAGCGGAACAGAGCCCACTCAACAAACTCCAGATTCAGAAAGAAAAGACCAAATAAGCCGTAACGATTTCTCACTTCTGTTTCCTAATACTTTGAGGAAACAAACATCTGGTATGAGGAAAAAGCAGGTAGCGCTGGCAACCTTTAAGCCGAAAGAACAATTAAGAGGAGGTATCCAGAGGAGCTGAAGTCCCAAGAATCTGAAATTCACCAATACCCATTCGCTTTACCTTTGTCTGCAGGAGCATCCGGGCTGGAGTCATGCAACTGTTTAATTGGTGAAGAAGCTTTAACTGGTGCTGGGATACTCAGTGGCAGTGGTAAAGATGTAGGAACATCAGAAAGTTCAGACTCTGAAGACTGGGAAAAGAGATATTCCTCGCCAAGCGAATGCCTATGTAGCTCCACATCCACTACCTTCCAGAAATAGGTGAAAGGATGACATTAATATTTGGTAGCTAGGTAAAGATATAAAAAGTGAAAATAACTGAATCCCTTTTTTTTTTTTTTTAAAATGTTTCAGGGCTAACATCTGGAAACCTCTCCCCACCATCCCCCCACTTCTGCATAAAATTTCCACTCATTTCCGGGGTGAGACTGCTCAGAAGTCCAGCAGGATCTAAGCTAGGACAAATCTTGCAACATTAAAACACCACGGTAAAATAGCACATCTCTCTGTCCATGGGGATATCTCAATAGTGAACACTTAAGAAATATATAGCCCAGATCCAAGCATAGGAATGGGCACTGAACTGCAGCTTGCCTTTTCTGCCTTTTTTGAAAACGCCTTGAGAAATTCACTACTACATTACCTACTCTTCAAAAACGTTCTTTAATCACAGTAGACATCTCACATTAAAGTTTCTTCTACAGACTGAAAAGCTGAGATAATGCAATTTCACAATAAAAATTTCCATTCACTACAGTACGAGGGAAAAATAAGAAGAACTCTAGGGATATAATAGACTATGAGTTACTCATTCATTTTATTTTATTTAATGTTTTAAGACGTCATTTTCCATGAATGTACTGAATGTTGACACAGGCAGAAAGTTAGAAGTACTTAAATCTACTGCAAAATTTCAACAGTCAGGTGATCCCTTTAATTCAAATTCCTTATTTACGAGATCTGCAGCACATCAGAATGCAGATCAAGACACTTGATAACAGAAGCTGCGCAAAGAAATAATAATTACAACTGTAATACAGGTTAACATTTTATGAAATAAGAGCTGGAAAACGTCTCTCCTGCACTGGAAAGTGAAAAAATGACTGTTGTAATGAACAGAGACAAGCTTTTACAATTATTTCATTTAGCAGGAGAGCAGAATCTACATTCCAGAAACCGTGAAAGCAAATGGGGGTGACTCAGTGCTTAGCCCATTACATCTTTTTTCATTTTAAATATCTTTAAGGGAATCAAAGTACAGCATCCATCCCACAGCCCGTTGACTCACCGTTTCTGCGCCAAGTGTCTGCAGGCCTGTGTAGGTCCTGTCCAACTGGGCAAAGCAATACAACACGTTTATATTAACTGGGGCAAAACAATACATTAGCTAGAATTTACAATACAACTTGTTTGAAAGGAGTTGAAACTACATAATTTGAATAATGCATCAAGTTTTCTGAAGCCACAGGGTCAGAAATCTTTGTGCTGTTAAACACCCTCTGCAAAAAAAAAAAAAAAAAAAATACACCCCAACAAACCTGTAACCTAAAGCCTATGCTAAAGAAGAAAGGGAGAAAAAAGCTGAAGGAAATGATGTGTTGGGGAAGACTATTTCAATTTAAGAGGAGCTTAGAACCCTAAAAGAGCGTCCTTTTTTATTCCTGATGTCAATATAAGGAAATAATAATGAGAAAAAAACTCGAAGAGCTTTAAACTGAACAGCACAAAGGTTATGTTCATACTATAATCTTAATAACATAACTGCTCAGACTGCATTATCACTTGATAAAAGACAGAAAATCCCAGTGACATCTATAAAGATAAGTGTACAGAGAAGCTAGGTTTGATAGACTCCTTGTGTCTCAAAGCTCAGGGGCAGAGACAGTCTCTCAGCCAGGGAGGGCTCAGCTCACTTGCATCACCCCATACAAACCTCAGGCTAAGTGCACACAGGCAAACAGTAGATTTGCTGGCTGGGCTTCCCCACGGTAACGTAACTACATCTCTGCACTAGAGGTTCTTGTCTAGCATGCTTCCATTTTGAAAGGAGCACGCTTCTTTTGACAAGAAGCTATAGTTTCAGCTCTTCTGCCTGCCATTGACTGGCTCAGTTCTCCTCGGTAGGCTGGGCTTCCTTGACTGTACAGTATCCATCACACAGTTACCAGTTTAGTGGAAGCTCGAGTCACGGAGCTGCAGCACACCACAGGAGATGCAGTCTAGGAAGCCGGCCTACACGGGAGGAAGGGGATTCAAGCATCTAACTCAAACTGTGTCCGTGCTCACGCTCTTCACGTATTCAAAGACACGTCCTTTCCTCCAAATTTCTTTTAATAATAGTTTACATCAAACATCCCCAATGTTCCAGAGGAACACTTCCAACCTTCTCTACTGTCAGGATGAAACATTCACATCATTAGGAAATTCATTAGTTTTATTTAAACCTTGCCTGCATTAATCGTGCTGCTCTAATGAAAAATCAAAGAAACGTGAAAATAAACCAGCTCAGGACTTACTGCCACTAATGCTAGGCACTGCTAATGAAAAAAAAAAAACAAAAGCAACGGTCTAGTCTTCCAGGACTGCTGCATACTATAAATCCTACTCAGTGTCACAGGACAGGTGTCTGTGAATGACTTGAAAGAAGGCTCTGTTCAAAAGAAACGAACAGGAAATCTCAGCCTCTCTTCTCCCTGCCCACTCCACCAACAGAGAAAATCTCTAGCTGAGAGGCAGAGGTGTTGGAGGAACAAAACAAACGTAGCAATCGCTTTACCAAAAGGAAGATAGCCCTGTAGCAACCTTTCAGGTTAAAGCCAGTAAAAGGATGATAAAAAAAAAACCAACTCAAAACATACAGAATGAACATGCAAGTGTGTTGCTGCTCTGAGCTGAATCAACTCCAGCTTTTGTGAGGCTGGGTTCCTCAGCTGCAGCATGACCTCCAACATAGCCAAGCTTACTGACTTTCTTGAATCTTCTTTTGATACTCCATCTCAACCATTCACGTGTAAAAGAGCAGCAGGACACAGATACAACAGAGGGAGGCAGAAACACACACAAAAGCAGAGCCTCTTCTAGATCACGCGGGAGAACCCATTGAATTGTCTTTCTCTCCATCATTCTGTTCAAATACCTTCAAATTGTGTATGATATCAATCCTCTTGTTCTGGCTATCCTTAAAGTGTATCTGGACTCTCACAGGGAACTCTCCCCAGCCTCTCCTGGTCAGGTGAAACGGAGGTTCTCTGGAAACACAGGGCGATTCACATTTTGGATGCAAAAGGGGTACAGTTTTCACCACCTCTTTTTCAGAAAACCTATGACTGCTTTCCTGACAGCTAAAGTTACCGTCAGTCCTGCTGTCCACCATGGGCAGCACGCTATGCCTGATCATGTGACCAGGAGAGCTGAAAACATATTTTCACCTTGCGTAAGGGAAGAGGGAAGAAAATGGTAAAACACTGCGCTGGGTAAGAGAGCAACAGAAACAACTGACAGCTTAAAACAAAGGCTGCTTCAACACCAAATAAAAGAATACTTTCGAAGAAAAGACTCAAGTCAGTTCCTAGGACACTGCTGCGAGGTGACTTTTCAGCGCAGCACTTTCAGATCTCTGCTATCCCCTATCTACCATCACAGAGGCACAAAACACAACATACGGCTAACAAAGAAAAGCCAACTCAACTAGAGGTATTCTCCAAGCTGAAAGAGCAGGGCATATTTCTCCCTGACGTTTACCATTACTTTATTTGAACTGTAGTTTGTTGTAATTGTAAATCCCAAACGTGGTTTTGCAAAGAAACAAAACTCAAGAGGTTTAAAGGTGATTTTCAGTCCAGAACATGAATGTCAATTAAAATGACTGGGACTGTGCTACAGTAAGAAATCAATTAACTAGAAGGGATTAAAATAGGAGACAAACAGCACTGACAACAGATATTGGAAATTGAGAAGGCACAAAAAAAGATAGCATTCAAGTGTAATTTAGTACGTTACGTGAGGACTATAAGAGCTTGTTTTCATCCACCTCAACACCACCTTCTCAGAATCCTTAGTGACCCTTACCAACACTTCCCATCTCAGACATGCCTTTCTGGAGCTGCCTTTGGGACAGTTTGATTTTGCCAGATTTACGTTGCCATTTTGCGCCTAGGCATCACAAACGCAACTTTCCTCCAGGCAGGCAGCAGAACACCTTTCGGGGAATAATTTCTTTGGGAAGACACAAAGTAGCTTGAACGTGTCCTCCTACTGTCTTCTAACGAAGGGAGAACGAGAACGACTAGGCGTTTCCCTGCAGCAGTCAGCAGAGAACTGACCCTGTGATCTCACTGGGGCAAGTTTTGAACATGGCTTTGGGAGAGGACCGAGAGGCTGCCATGTTTCTGTAGCACCAACACCATCCCACTCATGGGAAATTAATTCTGTGAAGCATGAAGCCAACACCACTGACCTCACTGCATGAGAGAAATACTTGGAAAGGGGATAAAACTTCTTCCCAAACACATATGTATCATTAAAACTATGGGCAAATTAGCTTTCTGCGACTCCTTTCTTTTCCACCGGGAGGTAGACAACACGTGTTTTAACAGCAAAAGTCTAACCTGAACAGCAGACAGTTTAATGCATACAGGAGATGCACAAACTCACTTGGATAACACAAAATGCAATTAAAAGCTTTTGTCAGTAGGAAAAACTGTTTGGCACATCTGAAACTTAAAAACTGATTTATTTTGGCTCTTATTTTGTGAATAAGTCACGTCGAGTTGGAGGTTAAAGTAAGGAACGGAATAAAAAAAAAAACAGGAGGAGAAGGGGCTGATTTTTTGAAGAAGCTCAGCACGGTTAAGTGTGGCAAGTATAAAGACTGGAATAATGATTGGAATAATTCCTTATTACCTCACTTCTACCAGGTCATTAGGTTTGTAACTGGGATGGAGGAAGAACCAAACTTTCTTGACAAAATGATTTATGCTGGGTTCTCTCCGAGAGCCTCTGACATACACCATCCATTTATGGGTTGACTGATCATTTTCTTCTCTCTTGTCCGGGGGAATGTACCTGGCAGAGAAATTAACACACACACACACGAAAAGAAATCCCAAAAAGATAAACATCACAACAAGTATTATGGGGAAGATTAGGCAAAAAGTAGGAAAGATAAAATGCATATCTGCACCTAGCCCCCTGTACAGCTCTGTTCATTATTCCATAGTCTGCCATTTCATCAAGTCCTCCAAAAAACTCCTCCAGAAAACAAATTTGGATTTCATAAACTTATTTCTACTCTATGTTTCTAATACATTTCCTCAGTATCTCAGTGCAGAACTGCCATACGAAATTCCTCTATTTAAACACTTCTTTCTGAATTAGAAAGGCTTAATGTTGATGTTTTATCGCTATCAAATCCCTTTCCCCATTTCTCGGGAGCTATAGAGAACCCATATCACTCTAGAGCACAATATCAGTAGCTGCTCCCATAAACAAAAAAAAGCAATTCTTATTATAAATTTGTAAGAAGCTTCATAGACAATACCTGGTTCTAGGTACATTTTCAAGATGCAATTCTAACATCTAAGTCTCATCAGACAACGTTCACTACTTTCTATGCAAGAAAAAGATTGACGTAGTAGTCAATTTCTTCATGCTATACTGGACTTTCACAGAATTTTCCTCATTCCATTTTGGGGATTTTTTTTTTTTTTTAAACAAACAACACTGTTCATATGGACACACCGAATTAGCCATTAGGGCAATTTGCTTTTCCAAGTTTTCATGGGAAAGCTTGTTTTTTAATTGGTCAGAGAAGGCTGAAAGACTCAATTTGGAAGAAACAAATCTTAAAATCTCCACGTATAACAACTATTCAAACACCTAGTCCTCCCCCAACACTCTTGCCGACAGTCAAGGAGGGCAACCTCGGGTACAGCCACTATTCAAAGGCAAGTCCTCATACTGTGACAACTTAACAATTTTTAATTGTCTCCTAATTTTACCCTCTTATTCCATTTGATCCTGGAATGAAGGCTCATCACTAAGACTTTGGATACTAACTTGGAAACGTTGCCGACCACAATTGTTTTCTTCACATAAAGCCGTGAAGTCTCATCATTTGATAGTCCGGCATTTCGTTGTCCTGGTTTTTGAGAGCTTGAAACACCCGAACTGTCCTGAGGGTAGGGGAAGAAAAAAAAAAAAAAGCGAACAAAAAACCAAACATTCCTCTTAAACATTATTTTGTTTGGCACTAGAAAAGTAAGGCATTGTTAAAAAAGTAAACCTGCACAGTTACCTGAAAGACCAACAACAAACCATCTCTAGGAAATACATTTAAATTGCTAACTAGGCACATCTAAGTAACTCAGGTGTAACATGCTGCCTAGTCAAGTGTACACCGCACGGCAAAGCTCACTGTAGGTTATGCAACACGCCATGGATCTGAGCCATGACTCCAGCTTGGGTTTCAGAAGCACTGGCAATGCAGTATCTGAAAAATCAAGCACCACTAGAGTGGCATCAAATGGGTCACTAACCAAAACCAAAAACAAGCATCCCACGAGTTGCTTCTGAAAATCCTTCCCTTTCCCAACCTCTGCTACTTTGAGGGCCTCCAATGTTGCTTCACTACTAAGAATCAAGGCCGGGCCTGGGAAAGGAATTCACCTTCAACCAAACTAGCATAGAAGTCAGCCGTATCCGGTCACTGACCTATCTAGATAAGTTTACAAATCCACTGCAATTGTCGGGCATAATAAAACCAGCCTAATCAACCCTGTAACACAATTTCATCTATTAAGTCGTGGCCAAGACTTGCTGGCAAAATGATGACATGGTCTCCCACACCACCACTGTAGGCTGCACTGTCATTTGCATTGTAACAAGAGACTTTTCTGAGATTCTCTTGGCCAAAGGACTGTCCAGAGAATAAGGGACTATATCCTCCCATGAACAGCAGAGCTGGTGCTGCAACTTGCTGCAGCATACTCCACTGAGCACCTGTTAGACTAGGGTCAGTGTGGGAAGCAGCGGATTCACTAGGAATCACTGTTGCCTCCTCTGGTAAGTCAATGATGCCCCAAACAGGAGCAAGGACAGCCACAGGAGACTGGGATGGCTTCTGTTCCTCATCACTCCCTCAGCCATTGCCGAGGCGTAGGCTGTGCTGGCCAAAGCTATAACAACATGCCAGACCCAAGCAATACAACTGTGCCATCAAAGCCCCTAGCGCAGAAACAAGTTACACTGATCAGTGCTTTTACGATCCAGGCGGGTCCACAGTACATACTGCATACCTGCCTTCTGCTATGGATCCTAGGCAGGTGTCTGCAAACTGCAGCCCTATTATCAAGGGAGGCACATTGCTCGTTTGATGGAGAATCATCACTACGGCCACGTATCACTGTAGCTTTTTAAAATGCACAATGTAGTTATATGCAATGAGATATACCCATCTCTGCCTTAGATTACAGGCTGTATTCCTCTGGCAGGCCTGGGAACTGAATGCGACTGAAGGGAAAATGGGGTTTCAGAGAGTAAACCTCATCCATTCAGCAGCATTTCACTTAAGAGTCCGTGAGAGCCTCCCTAGCCAAGCTAACTAGTGCTGACAAGTGAGGCAGCTGGTACAGACACAGAGGGGCGGTGAGGGAGCAGAGCTAGACGGGATGCCTAGGAAGCAGCAGTTTCTCTGCAGGAGAAAGCTACTTCTCCTCAGAGAAGCTTCTCTTCAGTTGTCTAATTGCAACTATGAATAAGGAACTGGCTCTTTTCTGTTTTCTAGAGCAAGACAGATGAGAGTAAGGGAAAGTTCAAGCTCACTGTTTCGGGAGATGTGGGCTATGATTTATCCATGTTGTACTGAGGCCTCAGCTTGAGAAAGATTTTTTCAGCAGCTGGGCTTGTTTTTGTGCAGATTCTTAGCTGCAGTTGTCAAATGATTTCTATAGCTCCGTGGTGAGCCATAGAGAGAAAGGATGCAGATCAAAAATTACACAGGAAAAAGCATGGGGGAACAAGGAAATAAGGTATTTTTAACCTGATCAGTCTGGTTCAGTTAAACAAACAGTGATATTAGCATAACAGTGAGCAGTGCCACCATGAGCAACGCCAACTGAAATTACACACCCAGGCTCTACCAGTTCACGCTCCCAGGATGAGCTAATCCACCAGTGTCGCTATGTTTTCTCCACAGGGTGCTGAGCAAGTCAAACTCTGAACTCCAACGGCTTCAGCCATTCTAAGCAACGCAGCTGCCACGCGTGCCCAGCGCCAGCCAGCAGCATTATTCAATGGGGCCTCACCGGTTTCTTAACAACACCGCTGAGAATGACACATCTTGCTCTTCTCTCTAGGCTCTACCCCTCCCGACCTGACTTCAATCTGCACAGCAAAACCTTTTGCTCGAGTTGTGGAACACCTCCTTCCCCAGAGGCTACCACCCAAGAGAACAGCAGATCAGCTGTGCTAACACGAACGCTGTCACTACTGCCTGATTGACTTCTCTGCTGGGTAAGACTAAATTAAGAGTAGCTAACCCAAGTCACACACGCTTCAACTAGCCTCACGGCAAAGCCAGGCTGAAGGACTGGGAACAAGCTGTTGGGGAGGGTAAGAAACAGATCTTCAACAAGATGGGTGAAAACATGAAGAGCTCCTGGTGCCAGCACCAAGTCCAGACAGAGCGTGCACTTCCAACAGCTTGACCACTACTCGAATTTTACTTTACCCGGCCAGTATTTCTGCTCTGTCTCTGATCCAGGCTATTTGTCAGCCTCTCGTCTGCATCCAGGTTGCCGTTGTCCTTGTCCAGGAGAAAGTCATTGTGCTGAGAGAGTGAGTCACTTTCAGAGTGGTTGGCAGATGGCGTGTCTGATCCCTGGTTAGCAGGGGAGGATGATCTGGAGGGTGATTCCAAGAACTTCTTGATTGAAGGGTGATTAAGAATCGCCGCATCACATGACCTCGCCCCCTGCAACAGAGAGGCCAGGCAAATCCAGTAATTATTTTTCCTTTAGCCCAGATAAAACGAGGCTCTGCCAGAAGAGAAAAAAGTCAATGCCCAAAGGAAGAGGAAGTATTTAATCAGCTACCTTGCAGGAAAAACATATGCCACAGAAGATAAAAGCTCGTAACCGTCCTACAGAAACAGGACCCCAATTTTAATCCTTTTCTGCAAACCTTTGGATCCTCGAAACCTACCCGCTTTGGACAGGAGGGCTGCAACCTAGTCGGACACCCATAACGTCCCACTGCAAATAATAGCTTCCCTTCCTTGGCAGGCATCTACAGTCTCTTATCATACCCAGAAAGGTCACAGCTGCCTGATTCTTGCAGGCAAGAGGGGTATGTAAATACATTAGACTGTTTCCTTTTGATACTGTGATTGGTGCTCTTGTGAATGCCTATGAGGCAAGCCTCAAGTATGAGTATCCTGTCCGCTCACAAAAACTTAACAGAGGATGAAGAATAACATGCTTTGGCATGCTTGCAAACTTGCCTCAAACCAGACATATTAGAGCTAATCTTAGATCCTTTTAAACCTCCCTTTATAGCTGGCCTGCAAAGACTGTGGGGGGGAGGGGGAAATGTGCTTAAATCTTTTTTTTTTTTTTCCATTACTGTAACAAAGGCCTAATAGATTTTTTTCATTACTCTAGCAAAGGCCTAATAGATTTTTTCCTGTTTTTGCTTTTAATGTCTGAAGTAGCAAGGAAAACACCCATCACTCATCAAAGCAAGTGTCCCATCACCATTTCTCCTCCCAGCCACCAGTGCCACCTCTTCCAGGACACCCTGCTTTGATGATGAATCAACTAAGTGAACAGAAACAACCCTCTTTTAGCAGGAGAGGGCTGTTAGACAGGCTCACTCCAGCTCCTGCAGCCAGAGCCTCACATCATAGCTCCACTGATGTTTCTCTCGCTGGCAGGACCAGCTGAAAGAGGCTTCCTTCTTCCCTGTCTGAACTACCCAAGTCAGCCAGGCTAGTAAAATTATTTTGAGGGTGAGCACAAGGAGAAACGAATCAAGAAATTGATCTGGTTCGAATTGTTTTCCTTTGCAGTCTTATTTTTAATCCACGTCAGGTCTCTGGTCCCATCATTATGTAACCAAAATTCTGCTGAAAGGGTGGAGGGGGTGGCACGGAGGCAGACACCAGCACCACTGTGGTGCAGGATGAGTTGCCCTCAAGAGGTCAGAGCAGCAGTGGAGTTGAACACCGTCCCCTCTTGGGCTTTAAAGGTTTATTAGGGAGTTTTCTTTCCAAATGTCTGTTAGGCGTGTGATCTAAACAATTGCCAACTCTCCCTGCTCAAAAGCACTTAAAACAGTTCTGAAACCTAAATCCTGAACTTTGATTTTGATATCTGCAGAACAGAATTCCTACCAGTTTTCCAGGCATTCATACAAACTTCATGGAAAACAAAAATCTCATCTTTAAAACAAAAAATCCCTAAGAGAATTTTTCCCTCAGCTTCTTTCAGGCCTTTTCAAAATATCCAAGAAGGAAAAAAAAAAAAAATCAAGATTCCATTTTGTTTTTCTCTAGTCAAAAAAACTGACCAGCACGTTGCCCACTAATCTGTAAGGAAGAAAAAAAATCATAATCATACCTAATTATAAGGCTCAAAAGCCAACATTAGGTTGAATAATTGTTTATATTTACATCAGAACAGATTAGGAATTTGCAAAACATCTTCCTAGAAGCTCACAGGCATTTATATAACAAGTATAATGAATTTAACTGCAGAAGACTCACATTCTAACAGCAGTAGAAAGAAAACAATCATTTACCGCCAACAGAAACAAAGACATTAACCACGCATTAAAAACAGACAAGAAAGAATATCAAAACCAGTATCAATTCCAAACTAAAAAGAGATCTGATTTAGCCTGCATGCAAATCATGATTTTTAAGAAGCAGTTTAGTATCCAATCAAAGGTACAGCTGCATCAGCCTTAAACTCATGAAAACTACAGAAAAAACAAAGCAAAGCAACGCCATACCAGTAAGTTTTGCGAGTACTTCAAAAAAAGTTATTGTTTCCGGAAGGTGTGAAACTCAGCAAGGGAAAAACAAACACCCTACATGGCAGAACAAGTAAAGAACACAGGACAGTACAAACTCTTGCTGACACATGATGACATTGGATAAAAGTACTTAAAAAACATCAGAATCTCACTCAAATTCTTCAGCCGCCTACACAAAAATCAAAGGGGTGGGGAGGAGGGCTCTCCAAGCCTCCCAATACTACCACTTTCTTTCTCAGCTTCAGTTGCTCAACTGGATTTCAGCGAGGCAAAGCACAAGTTGGATTTTTTAAAGTATTCTGGAAATCACAGTAAAAATAGGAATAACAATGTGAGCCCTTCCTTAGGGGGGAAATTCTCTAGGTAGCAGAGTGAAACCTGGATTTTCAGCACACATCTACAGTTTTCAAAAATCAGCTCATATTATTAGTGGAAATCAGATAAACTGCCCTGAATTCAAACGACGATAAGGAAAACAATTAAACTGGTAGTGAACTACAAGGCAGTCACGAGTCTGCTCTCAACCTCAGTATGACTCATGAATACTACACAATTAGCAGGTCATTAAGGTCATGGTGCTCAAAACCAGTGTTTAACCGGTAGTTTCCACATTATTATCCCCTTCTGAAATCTCCTGGATTTACCTCCTGCTTTACTGATGCTATCAGCCTGTTCATCAAACCACAACCAGAATGGCTGCCTGAGTAAAGGGAGGATGGTTTCATGGTACTGACCGGTACTCTTGGGAGCCTGCATTCCTTTCTGCACTAGTCCTAAATCCATTTGCCTCCACCCTGCCACCTGCTAAACAGGAACTCTACAGGGCTTTGCAACCATGAATTGTGAAGCGTGTGTGAGGCAAGGTGCTCTCATGTAAGAGCTGATGAAAAAGGGCAGACCATTTCAGAAAAGAGAACCAAGGGCTGCTGAAGTACTTCTCAACTGTTCAATGAAGATTCGCTCTGCTGAGAGCCTGAGGCCCGGTTAGTGACACGCAGGACACCCTTCCCACCCCCGACACTACCCCACCTTGTCTGCAGTTCAGATTCCAATGTTTCAGAAACTGTAGCTCAAAATGAAACATCAAACAGTCAATGAACTATACAGTCTTTCCTTGCAAATTTTTCCTGAAGTCTTATTGTTCCAAAAACAATTGTTACCTCTCCAGCTTTAAGGAGACCAGCAGAAGCGTAATAGTTTGCCACAATACAGGCACGCAGCTTATCCATCATCCTTCTTGCTTCAATCAGGCGCTATGAAAAGAAGAGAGAGCATTTAATAACAGACAACTACCGCAGCAATCCCCAAAACTTCCTGATCCATCAGGACTTTTATCTATTTCAAAGAACAAGATCTTTATACCTGATCTATAACTTCAATTTCATGTTCTTTATTCTTCATTTCAACGGCAAACTGTTCTTTTATGATTGTCTCAATCTTCTGCACAGCAACATCTCGAGCTGTATAAGGCCACACATGGAAAATAAAGAAGGAAGTATTTGTATTTCTGTTTTTGAGGCTCCACTTCAAAAAAACAAAATCAGAAGTCATTAAGGAGTGAAAAGTGATGGGATAATAAGTTCAGCACAACAAAAAAAAAAAAGCTGTAAGGATCATTTTTCTACAGAAGAAAGTAATTTGTCTTAACAAAAAACACATGTATCTTTAAAAGCTGACTTATGTGGAGGGGTATTATTTTCCTTTTTCGGTCAGAGATGACAAACACATCAGAAGATGGAAAGAACGGGGCCAGTTTGCTTGCTTTTGTCTCAGTAAAGCCGTAAACAGAAAAAAGAAAACTCAAACATGCTACTGCCAAGTGCAGTTACCACTGCAATTGTGCAGAGGTACACTGGCGTACTACTCACATTTTTCTGCCCCCTTTGGATCAGTCTACATCCAGGAAATTTAAACCACATCATGTAGTAACAATAACTCAAACTAATACTTTGTACGCTCAGCACCGGCGCAAAGCACAGCCTGCTCTGGAGAGCCTGCAAACCATCCATTAACCACAAAGGAAACTTCTGACGTTGTCAAAAGCTGGTCCCCCACCTCTTACAGAAACCTCTTCCAGCAGGGTAGGTAAAAACTTCTATGCATGCCGTAGGGGTTTACTGACTTTGGTAGAAAACATGCAGTTTAATATTTCAAATTGTTTGCATTCCTTACTGTAAATTAGACTTTTAAGAACTGAATCAGCATCATATTGTTTTTTTCTACAACAGGTATTAACAGAGAAAGAATAATTATTTTTGTTCTACACCTCATATAGGTTTTAAACGCCCCCTTCTTTGAGCCGTGTCCATTATATCAGGGAGATTCAACTGACATCTCAGTTTTCAACAAGTACGAAGCAGGAACTTCGAAAAGCAGAAGAGCTACTTCCAGAAGAAAGCCTAGAAACAGTTCTCCAGCGTGTGTCAGGAGCACAACCACCCCAAAACAGAGCAGCGCAAAGAAGCGGTTTGGGTTCCCTGGAAAAACTGTACGTTGCTTCTAAACAGAGTAGAAGGCAAAAGATGAAGAGACTTTGTTTTGTGCTCCAGAGGAAGCACTTGTTTGACTAAAAGGTATATATCTGTTTGAAGAGGTTTCTAATATCACAGGAGAAAGGGTGAAGGAACCAAAGTCTGTCAAAACTTTGCTGGTATGTTGCAGCTAGCACACAGAATTTTACTGTCTGCCCATAGTTACCTAAAATGGGAGCAACGCAGCTTACGTTTGCATTTGCAATAGGTGTATCCTAAATACCTTTATTTATTTATTTACTTACAGATGTCCATATATATTCTAGGACCAGAAATACTCCAAGCCTATGTTAAAATGGAATTATGGTTGGGTTTGTAGGAGTAATGCAAAAATAAAAAGCAGAGGGATATAATTATCCCCAAATCATGAACACCGTGCCCAGGAAATTCATGTGCAATGCTACACTTAAAAGAAACCTAAGCAGATTAAGGTAGGAACTGTGCAGTTCAGATGGAGACAACTCTTCCCAAGGCCAACGCCACACAATACCAGCACTAGGACACTTAAGGGAAGTTAGGATTTGTGGTTGTATTATACAGGCTTTTAAGAACACTGTATTTTCCTATTTTTCCCAATTTAGTATCAACCACAGTCCCCAATTAAGACTTGGTCAGTGAAATTTGCATACTTACGGAATTCTTGTATTGAAAACTGGAGATCTTCCACGAGAAGAAGAACTCAATATGGAAGAATCACCTCAGCAAGAAGTTCACTTTGGGAAGGACAGCTCTCCAAGAGCCCTGAGACTTGGCCTGCTACCTATTAAGATCTTCTGAGGAGTTGCTTCAGAAGCAGGATAAAAATCTGTCTGCAGTCACTTGGATTCAACACCACAGAGGGTGGCAACTTCTGGCAGACAGGCAGGGCAGACAGCTGGGAGCGCTAACGCTGTTTTGCCATAGCTAGCTCCAACAGGGCTCTGCCGTCAGCGCCCTTAATTGACCTTAACCTGGCAGACAAGACCTGCCCAGCAGCATATTCAAACTGAAGTTCAGTCTCCTCAGACTCGCCCAGCTGTACACTGTCCTCCAGAACACCACCTGTGAAACCATTATCTGTCCCTCTCCAACTGGCAGCTCCAACACCCTGCTCTATTCCTGGATCTTGCTCAGATCCTGCAGCAGGCTCCATTTTTCTCATCTCCCTTTTCTTCAGCTCCTCCCCTCACGATTCTCTCCCACTGGCTGTGCTATGCCAAATATCACTCAGCCCACTCCCTGTCCCAGGGGCAAGAGACTCTAGTCTCACTTGCCCAGAGAAGATTCGAACCTGACCTAGGCACACAGCCAACAGGATGGTTCCCAAAGCATTTCTGACAGTGCCAAATGCATACCTGCTCATCCAGCCACAGCTTCTTTGTCCATCTTTCCTTCAGTCAGGTAGCTACTCCTCCTCCTTTGCACCCTTAAAAGCCCCATCCTTCTCGCTAACTTATCCCTTCTACATTACTTCGTTTCATTTTATCTGCTTTCTCTTGCAATTGTTTGTCTTGCTTTTTCCTAGAGCCAGCCTAGCCCCAGGGTCAGGGGGTTCTCTTCTCCCAAACTGTACTGCTACCAGCTGCTGCATCCCTCAAACGTAAGCTAACTGCCAGTCTTTCTACAGGCAGGTTTCAACTGCAAAATAAATGCAGAGGTAGGAGCATAACCCAGCACAGAAAACAGCTGGGAAGATACAGCGGCAAATACTTCAGCAAGCAACAAGAACCAAAGTACACGGTCAGGCACTCCCAGATGGCTTGTGCTCTAGTTGCTATCATGCGCTGAAGTCTGCGACCACGTGCTTTACTGCTGTCATTACTGAAGCTCAGTTCAGCTAGCAGGTATGAATGGCTCCACCTACGACAATCACACCGTCATTTTGCTATACAGAGATATCACTAGCTTCCTTGCCCTTTGTCCTTTTAGCTCCCGTCCAAGTCCTTTTCTGAACTGTTTGTAGAAAAATGCACAGAATCTGCTGAATCCGTGGCACTTCTAATTCCACACATGACAGTATCGCAACTCAGACGGTTCCTACCTGACTGTTCAGCTGCTTTGTGACGCTTATTGGGATGTGTGACTGCGATCTCCTCATAGTCGGGGTCCTTCTCCGCGATCACTCTCTTGATCCCAGACATGTTCTCTCGACTACTGCACCGAGAGGAAAAATAAAAGCAGTGACATTACCCACAGCAACTCTCCGGACAGAGTTCAAACTTTCTCCTGAAATGACAGGAGTCACAGCGAGAAGGCCTGCCTTGGACCTCGGGAACACCTCCTGGAACACCTCCTTCCCCAGCTGCTAGAGATCCATCCACAGCTGCAAAGCTCAGAGCTAGTCCCGCTATGTACAGTCCACAAGTTTACACTGCCTCCCGATCTTTGGTCTCCATAGCCCACCACAACCTGTGTGGGGAAAGGTATTGCGAAGATGGAGCGGCAAGGCAGAAAAATGAAGTGACCTTCGCTGTCGCTGAACAGCCGCTCTGCAAACACACCTCGCCCCTCTCCTGGCAGGCACGTTTCTTTATGCAAGGTTAGCACGTATGACCGGAGAAGACCGCCAAGGCAGGTGTTGGTATTAGCAACTTCTCTTCCAATTTAGCCACCGTCCATTGACGCAAAAGTCACAACAGCCTGTTCCCCATCCTCAGCGATGCCTGCACGCGGATCTTAAGAGGATGTCCAGACTTGCTTGGCTCACCAATTTCAGTACATCGGGGGTGTTTTCTCAGGGGCGGCACCATCACCTCCAGCACGCAGCGCTTGGTCAGAGTCAGCGCGCTGACGGCCCGAACGAGCCGGGACGCGCACACACAGCGACACAAACACACCACGCTACCCGGGACAGGCGGGGGGCTCGCCGGCGAAGCTGCGCCAGCACACGGGTCACGTACAAGCGTGACCTCCCA